ATCGAATATGGCCTTATTTGCCGCATGAATTCGAAAAATAAGTTTATTTTGAATTTTAATAAACTAAACGTTCACCAAAAAACTTTAGTGAGAAAAATCGAAAAAACGAACTACAAACATATTAACGCCAAACATTCGGTAGAATTTATAGAATATTGTAAAAATTATGGTCTATTACCAACATATATATATATATATATATATATATATATATATATATATATATATATATATATATATATATATATGTATATATATATATACACATAATTACATATATCTATGTTCCTGTATAAATACATATACATCAAGTTTTCATGGTTTTATTAGATCTAGAAATGAGTTACCTAGTTATACTCGATTGTACATTGAATCATTTCATTATATTATAAATTGAATATAAACTGAGAAACTGCATTCATATGGGACAGGAGAATGTTGATTGAATGTCGTAAGCTACTTGCAATGCAACAGATTATTATTACAAATAACAATCATATACATGTACGTACATAATCAGAACTTTCCTAATTACAAATCGGAAATAGTTGGAAGAAAATATAAATGTTCATCATGTAGTTCATGAAACTGATGTACGTACGCTCGTCCTGGTCAAACTTCAATAAATTGTTTAATCGAGGAAACTTTTTTTTCATCATCTTTCATCTCGATAATTTTACAGAAATATCAAACAAATCAATTATATAAAGTGAAAAATTTCTTAAATACGCTTCAAGTTCATTTTAGTTCAAACATTGGAATTAAAAGTCTACTAACCTCTTTATATAAAAGCTAACGTATCTATAAAAATAAACAAATAAATAAACATATAAAAAGGAAACAGAAGAAACATAACATTTCTACATGATGCCGATACTTAAAGAGCAACTAAAAGACAGAGTCATTGTGAAAACGTTTATAAAGAAACAACCGTTTTTATACGCATTAATTGACCAGTAGGAGGTCTCTGGATTTGATTTCACTGGAATTATCTCCGGACAGACGCAGTTGCAGTTACAGGTTGGAGTTGGAAATACGGATGACGAGTTGTAGTGTAGTGATGGCGTTGTTCTGCGATAGCTCGACGAGGAATTTATCGATGAGGAGTATCGAACCCTTTTCGTGGTCTTCGTCTGAATGGCGGTCTTGTTCCGAGGTTTGACGCATTTTGGTAGATAGTCGAAGGAGTATTGCAGCCTTATTAGTGGATATATAACATCACGCCCAGCCGGAGTGCATGCCTTGATAGCGAATGTTTCAAAGCACTTTATAAGTCCGTCAATTTCTTGTCTGCGTGCAGAAAAGTTTAATTCACAAGTCAACAGACATCATCAGAAGTAAAAAAACATAAATCGATAATCAACATAATAAGTTATTTTTTAAAATACCGTTGGTAATAATAATAATATAATAATAATATAATATAATATAATATAATATAATATAATATAATATAATATAATATAATATAATATAATATAATATAATATAATATAATATAATGTAATGTAATGTAATGTAATGTAATGTAATGTAATGTAATGTAATGTAATGTAATGTAATGTAATGTAATGTAATGTAATGTAATGTAATGTAATGTAATGTAATGTAATGTAATGTAATGTAATGTAATGTAATGTAATGTAATGTAATGTAATGTAATGTAATGTAATGTAATGTAATGTAATGTAATGTAATGTAATGTAATGTAATGTAATATAATATAATATAATGTAATATAATATAATATAATGTAATATAATATAATATAATATAATATAATATAATATAATATAATATCATATGACATGACATGACATGACATGACATGACATGACATGACATGACATGACATGACATAACATAACATAACATAATATAATATAATATAACTGACAGTGTTGAGTTGGTGTAGCTGGAGTTTTTTGAATGGCACTTCAGCTGGTACATGTACTGGTCTGAATAGTCTCTCCGCAGCAACTCCCTGCATAGAGAGGGCCTGGAGGATTCGTGGACAGCTTTGTTGAAGCAAGGAAGGTATTCTATGTATTCTTAAAATTTAATAAATAATTTAATGAGTTTGTGAATGTTTCAAAATTTTATAAGTTATCAATATAATTTTTACAATTTTTTATAAATTGAATTCTTATTTATAAAATTAAATTATGTAAAGTATGGGATTTCATTGGCTGCTGTTTGAAGCGGTTATCGAACATATGCGGTTTGTCAGAGAAGCAGTTTCAACGTTTCAAATCTCATCGCAACGGCCGTTCTCAGTGGTTGATTTTTTAAATACAAAAACCAATTTGGAAATTAATTTGCATTTGTTTAAGTAGTTCAACTGATTGCCCAAATGCTGTTAGATTAAAACTCAGAAAAATTCAAAAATGTAAAAAGCTTAAATTTTAACCGAACTAAATAATGTAATTTCATAAAACATAGTCGCTTCATTTTTTGCGTTCTTCAAGATTTTTGAAACAATTCTTCCCATTGTGAACTATGTTTTTGGTTGAACTGCATGCAGACAACTGCGGTTTTGATCTGTTTGATTTTGCTGCAATGTGTGTAGCGCAATCGCACTTTCAAACACGTTTCTGCGAAGCTTACATCTTGTTCTTATATAGGTTAACTTTACAAAAATGAAACTTATAATTTAATCTGAACATAATGACATACTTTCTTTACGTTGGCAGATATAAATGGCAATGTCATAATATTTCTTCCATTCGAAGGACAATCGATAGAGAAGATCAATCCCCTCGGGACAGCTCTCTTCAATCGGCTCCAAACATTGCTCGTACTTCTCGAGAGAGCTGAGAACGCAGAGCAGATAAAAGAAAAAGTTCATAAATACAAATTTTTTAAGTTGAAAACAAATATTTAAAATTAAAAAATAAATAAAAAATTTAATGAAATTGTCAGAAATTAAAAATATTTGAAGCTGCAGTTGGAAATGTACCAAATGTAGATAACGTAGAAACAGATAGTTTGCAAATAATCACCAATTTTATAAAAAAAAAATCTTAACTCAGAAATAGTTAGATAGGAACTAATTAATTATAAACATCCGAATGAGCGTACTTGCACCACCCAAGAAGGACTTCCGTGGAACTTTTCACAACGGCCAACATGCTTTGATGGAAAACCACCCTGGTGTTGAAGAATTCTTTGTAGCAGAGTCGCATAGCTTCTGGGAACTCTGGTGAACAATTTATCGAGTATCTGAAACCTACGGAGGATTGAACGATAAGATTTGCTTTTAAAGAAATTTTTTAGTTCATTGGTAATAGTTGTTAAATTTTATAGCGTTACTCAGCGGGATCAATGGCGTGAATCAATGCAGCGGAGTTAGTCGTTGCATGATAGGCCGGCAGGGATAGGTGCAATCTGCGTTCGAACTCAAGATCAACTGATTAGTCGCCTCCCCACCGTCCAGAGTTTAAAAATTAATTTTGGCTAATTATTATTTGAGTTTAACTCGCTTAATTAGTCGACCAGTTTTACGAAACTTGAGTGATAGAAATTTATAAAGAACAGAAATAAGAGTCTAATGTAGTATAATTTTCAGATCAGTCACATTAAACCTTGATGGCAACCAACGAATTTTAACACAATATTTATTAATGACATAACATAAAAACAAAATTAACGAAATCAAACCAAATGAAACGAAACATAAAAGAAGATTTGCTACTTTCTTCTGAAAGATATCCCTGAGGTTGAGGCTCATAAAGGCACCTCTCATTGCTCGTTGTGGAGCCTGATGACGTCGATGTCGTTGCTGATAATGTGGTTGTTGAAGTTACTTGATGCGCCATTGTCGTCGGTATGGTTGGATGTGGTAGTGGTTGTGCTGCTGATTGTATTGATGGTTTATTGTCGATATTTCCTAGCCACATTTCTATGGCAACGTTGAGTCTGAAGTTCGCGATGATGTAGCCGCAAGCAGATCTCACTAAATCATCTTCACACCAAAGCAGCTCTTTTGTGGTTCTTGTTGGTGGTTTGTTTATTGGTTGTTTGGTTGGTTAATTTGTTGCTTGGTTGGTTAATTGGTTGTTTGGTTGGTTAATTGGTTGTTTGGTTGGTTGTTCGGTTAGTTTGATAAAATTTTTATCTTTTTCTTAATTGAAAAATTGTTAACAGTTAGTTTACGTAGCTCTTTAAGAAAAACATTTTATAAACAATTAAACTTCTGTATGTTTTAAAATAGTTAAAATTTAAATTTAATGATTAATTTGATCGTATTTTGAGATCAAAATGATACTACATCTAAACATCATTTGCACTTGGATGATCACACTAAAGTATGTGCACATGAAATGGAACAAAGATTGAAAGCTGAATTTTTATACCTATACAAATTGTATATATAATAAAATCTATCACTCTAGATTGAAGAACAAACATGAGATACTGCTCGATTATTAATGCAACTTATAAATAGCACAAAGGATGAATAATAGATAAAGTTCCAAAACGACATGTAAGTAAATAATAAAGTATGAAAAAAACGCTAACAAGAAGAAGGTATAAATAATAAATGTGACTGACTGGCATGAATCCCCCTTCAACGTCATCATGACGTAACATCCATGGAACAGGTGATTGTCAACAGATTGCGTTTTCAAGCAGTTTATTATTTTCTTTATCTCGTTCACTGGACGTGTGTGTGTTTTTGTGTGTGTTTGTGTGTAATTTGTGTGCGTGCGTCATGTCTATGTATTTTGTATTTATGATGTGTGTGTGTGTGTGTGTTTGCACGCGTCTTTTCGTAATACGCGTTGGCGGGCAGTGCCGGATTTAGACAACTTCGACAAACGGGCAAAAAAAAATTTTGAAAATGTTTAAATTTTGAGAGCGTTTTTATTCTAGCATGCTTAAATTTTCTATCATGCTTAGAATGTGTTGGAAGAAGACCATATTTCACACAGTATTGTATATTATTAAGGAAAATTAAAAAGACAAACTTTAAATTAATTTGTGGCATTATTTCGGTAGAACACACACCACACACACACACCACACACACACACACACACACACACACACACACACACACACACACACACACACACACACACAACCAATACTGCATACAACAATCCTGAACTTGCATGCAATCAAGATAAAACTGCGTTAATTCACAGTCACGCATGCGGATGGTTTTGCTACAAGATATGGGTATGCGTAGGTGCACACGTTGAAATTCTTGTTTATTTGATTAATTTCTTTTGCTTTCGGCTGTGTGTACAGATGTATGTATGCATGTATTTGTATGTATGTAGATGTATGTATTTCTATTTGTCTCTCCATATCAGTGTGATCTCGTAAGTTCACGTGTATATATGTATTTGTGTACGTTTATGTGTATATATGTGTATGTTTGTTTGTTTGTTTGTTTGTGTGTGTGTGTACGAACATATGTTCTGGTGTGTAGATATGTGCGCACATTTATGGGCGTGTATTTTCATGTAGACCTTTCATAATTATAACATAATATGAATAGGTATGTATCTACGAGTGTTTGTAATATAAGGTTGATCATGTATTTGCGTGTGTGTGTGTTTATTTATGTGTGAATGTGCTTGTAGGGACGTATACATGTGTGTATATTATACGCACGTGTATTGTATATGTACGTATATATATTGTGTATTGTATTGTATATGCATCATTTTTCTTTATCCGTTTTGTTATATTTATTTATTTACTGATTTGTTTAATTTTGTACTACTGCCTTGCATGCCGTAACAGTTTCTACGTCTGTAAGCCTACTGATTTTTAAAGAATAAAAAAGTGTGAATATTTCTGAATGTAATTAAGATGTGCCACGTAGTGCTACTGACAGGAGCTCAAGTCATTTAAAATTCCATCTCATCTCGTTAACATGATGTATGTTCTGCTTTTAAGAGATTCATACTTTTTCTGATAAAAAAAAAAATTAATTTGAGAAAAAAAGTTATTTAAAAAAAATCATCGTTTATAACATTTTTTTTTGGTCAAAAATGTTATTCTTAATCGCTGCATTATTCAAATGCCATTTACAAACAAAGATTAATGGCAACCATGGAGAGTCTTTTTATTAAGAATGGGTACCAGGCCAAACTGGAAAGATATAAATAAAAATAAAAAATAAAAAAAACTACATAAATGAAAACCAAAAGAAAACAATAAAATGATATCGATAATAAAATAATGTAATAAATAATGTATAAAATCTGACATATATCAAAAAAGCGAAAGAAAGCAGATAGCCACAGCATAAGAACATAAAACAAACGAACGAACAAAAGAACGAACCAACGAACCATAAAGAAAACTGGATGAAAAGAATTCACACATACATATATACACACACACACAAATTTTCGTTTAGTTAAAAAAAACGCAATTTCTTTTTTCTCCATTTTCGTCATCTTTGCACCACCATCATCATCATCGTCGTCGTCGTGGTCATGATCATCTTCTTCTTCTTCTTACATCACCACCATCGTCATCGTATTGTCACCTACTCATTGTTACCATGTCTCTTTTTAACAGTCAGTATCATCATATGTTTGGTCATCGTCTTCCACGTCACCATCCATCTCTCCATCATCATAAAACTCCTCCTACCAACATCACTCTCCTCGTCATCGTCATCATCATCGTCATCATCGTCGTCATTATCATTCTTGTTGACGTCATCACAATATCAGTAGTTATCACTGTCGTTGTTGGAATCATAACCAGTTGAGTCATCATCAGCATCAATCAGCAGCAGTCGCTGCAGCAGCGATAGCATCGCCTTCATCATAATCTTCATCGTCGTCGTCGTCGTCTTCCTCAAGGCTCCTATCATCGTTCTCATTAAAAGTAAAAGAAGAGATGTAGATGGTCTGCATGCATAATAATTCATATATAGGAAGCATTTATTGATTCTACTTATGCATGCGTATTTCAGGCAAAGTGTAGCAGACCGACATACGTGCCGGCTGGCTGGCTGACTGGATCTTATTGAACATTTCTACTTCAACCAGTACACTGCACTGAAAAGTATCCAATTATGTCCGTGGGTTCACTCTACTTGAGTATTATTAAATTCCGCAGCCTGAGATTTGTTCTGAGGTGTACTTCGTTCAAATGCGCGACATCTTATTCCGTATCAAAATGTAATAGAATGTACTGTCTTTGACGTGAATATATTTCATAAGCAGTTTTGTGAATTGTACTTTGAAGTACTATAAGTACTGCAAAGCACGTACGTGTGCCTGCTACAAAGTATTACTTTGAAACAGTTTACTGCATTGTACTAAACTGTGCCATATTCACAGCACTGAGGATTGTTTGGAATATCTTCAACTCAACTCTACCTTACATGAAGTACCCCTTAATAGCATGCGTGTCAACATTAACCACACTTGTACTGGTTACTAAGTACTCTTCGAATTAATTTGATTGTTAAAATAATTTCCCTGCCATTTGAACATATTAAATGCAATGCAATGCAAAAAGTTATTTTGCAGGAAGAAAAGAAATAGAGAGATAGAGAAGTAGATAGAGAGAGAGAGAGAGAGAGAGAGAGAGAGAAAGAGGGAGAGAAAGAGAGAGAGAGAGAGAGAGAGAGAGAGAGAGAGAGAAGTAGAAAATAAAACAGGAAAGCGTTTTAGAGGGACGATGGCGTGATTTAATTCGATATAAAGTAATGCGCATTAACGAAGCCATTTGAGGAATTATTTTCAGAATTATTCCTCGGCTTTTTCAAAGACTTTTTTTAATAATAAAGAAAAGATACTACAGCTGCTTCAACATGAAATTATTACAATTGCTAATATACTACAACTACTTCTACTACATACCATCGGGATTATTACTCCAATACAACAACAACAATGCAACTACTATTGCTACAACAACTACTACTGCTGCTGCTATTGCTACTACTACTACAACTACGATTTATACTACTACTACTACTGCTGCTACTGCTGCCACTACTACTACTACTACTACTACTACTACTACTAATATTACTACTACTACTACTACTTCTACTACTACCACTACTACTACTACTACTACTACTACTACTACTACTACTACTACTACTACTACTACTACTACTACTCTACTACTACTATACTTTTAGTACTTCTACTACTACCCCTGCTACTATACTTCTACTACTACTACTACTACTACCACTTCTAATACTTCTACAACTACTACTATTACTACAGCAATACATAAAATTTTTATTGATTACTATAATCACAAAAAAATGGCAAAACAAAAATACCCGCCGAAGAAAAAACTTGGCTAATAATAATTTCGCCAACGTTCATGAAGCAAAATGAACCTGACTGACAGACGTCTTATAATATTTCATATCCATTGTTCGTCCTATTGCATCTGGTTATTTCTTTCTATACATTTCTATACATTTTCATTTTATTATTTCCATTTTGTTGTTTCTCATTAAAACTTTTTATAGGTTAGATTAAATTTTTTGTTAAATCGTTCGTTAGCTCATCTATACATTTATTTGACAATGTATTGCAACATTTATGCTGTCAAACGCGTTACACACACATACACACACAAATACACACACACAACGCGTTACACACACACGCATACACACACACACGCACATGTATTGTTCTATATGCGCCATGAAAGAAAAAAAACTAATTAAATTTACTAATTTCATCCGCACATTCATCCATCTTCAACTTAAAAACACAACTTTCATGCCATTTTATTTAATTTTATTCCTTTCCACTCCAATTTAAAGACTTACCATGCAACTCTTGCATTCGATTTTTATTCACTGAAGCAGATTTTTCAAAAAACCACAGCAAATAATCTACATATCTCTTGGACAAATTCCATGAAAACAAAACCCACCCATCGCAATTCAGTTTCTTTAACTTTTTCACAAAATCCCCACCAAATCAATCTTCCTAACCAACCTCTAAAAACGCTCATCTTAAAACCTTTTTTAAGCAACATATTACATTCTTTTTCATCAAAACACTTTTTAAACCAACTGGAACAGCCTTATCAAATTACCCGTAAAAAATTTCTCACCCACTATTGAAACCCCTCCGTACCGTATCGTACCCTGCCATACCATGCCATACCGTAACAACAAACCTTCTTTACTGATGGTGCAAGACGAGAGGAGGAAGAGCTGAGAGGGGGTGAAATCCTCCCAGGCAGAAATGTTGCACCTCAAAGAGAGAGTTCTGTTGCATTGGTGCCACGATCTGTAGGAACTTTTTCATCATTTTATCCCAATCATCCTCTTATCCTATTCATCTTTTCATCCCAATCATCCTCTTATCCAATTCATCTTTTCATCTCAATCATCATCATATCCAATTCATCTTTTCATCCCAATCATCACCTTATCCAATTCATCAGTTTATTCCGTTCGAAATGTAAATTTTAATGTGATTTGAAGCTGGTTCACAAATAATATTTAAATTAGTTAATGTCTAAAAAATATTCACAGCACATTGGGTAAGCCGATTGAATTAAAGCATAAAAAATGTGTAAATATTTAATTATAGTTTCTCTATTACATCCAAAATAATGTTGCAACATTTTTTGAGCTTCTCTCTTCAAATATTTGCTCACACTGGCGTGTGTTGTTTTTTTTGTAACATTACATTAAAATGACATTACAATTCACCAAACGCGTTATTGGGGGCGAGGTTTTGTGGCTTAAAGCCGGCCCCACGATGGATGATTTTGTTAAGGTCGAGGTCAAAATTTACAAATTTGTTCATAAATTAAGATTAAAAATTGATTTGGCCACTCTGAAAAGTAATATTAAGTTAACAAATTTGTATGACGGTTTTACTATGGAAATCACAAAAAATGCAACAGAAGCACAAAGTCTCTTAGCTAAGCCGCCGTATATAACTGATTAATGTTAACAATTTGTGTAGTATGGTGAACATAAACAAAAAGCAAACGCACATCCATCCATCCATCCATCCATCCATCCATCCATCCATCCATCCATCCATCCATCCATCCATCCATCCATCCATCCATCCATCCATCCATCCATCCATCCATCCATCCATCCATCCATCCATCCATCCATCCATCCATCCAGCCATCTAGCCAGCCATCCAGCCAGCCATCTAGCCAGCCATCCAGCCAGCCATCTAGCCAGCCATCCAGCCAGCCATCCAGCCAGCCATCATTCATTCCATTCAGCAGTAGGCAATTTTTTTATGACCTGCAGGCGATGGAGCAAAAAAAATATTTTTCTTTGCACGCAATAACAGCCATGAAAATTTTTTTGCTTATTTTCCATTTTATCGTTTATATTGTTTTTATTATTTTTTATTATTTTTTGCGAAATACCATTTTTATTCAAAATAGAATTGTTTCATCATGGCTGTACTGATAAATTACCATAAATAATTGTAGCGTATGGCAAATGGTGACAGAATGGCGGAATGGTTAAGGGCACCTACCTGGTCTTGTGTTGAAAGGACCGAATTCAAATTCAGTCATATCTTTTTTATTTCAGGTGCGAAAGTTGATGATGCGTTAATTTCACACTTGTTCAAGAAGAATAATTTGCAGCCAATTAATTTTGAAACAACAAACAAACAAAAGAGATCTACTTGCAAATGGCTTCGAAACTTTCGAGCGACGGATACTTGAGAAAGTTTGCATAGGACTGACCTGCCTTCACATCCTTCCAATGTTTTTTGCATCTGTTTTGCGCCATCGACATGGAGCAATCATCTGCGTAGGTATGTTATGAAAAAAGTTTCAACCATCATAAGCGTGCGTGCGTGGTTGAACATTCGACACTTCAATAGTTGAAGGCCTGGCTGATTTATCACATCTAATGATCAGGCATTCGGTTTTGTGGGCAGCTAAGTAAACAGCATTGTTTGGAGAAAAAATAAGACTTGTTGCGTTTGGTCAGTTGTGTGTGAGGAATAATAAACGAATGCAGTTGCAGTCCGGTGCATATCGAAAATAATTTGTTGGAAACCTTTCAAAATGTTCGATGAACAGGATGAAATAAGTAGCGAGAATATTTGATGTGTACTGGTTAATTCATGATTTTCATGTGAAAATTAAAAAAATTTAAAATAAGAAATCCACGTTTAAAAAAATTTGTCAAAACTTGAAAATTAAACAATGCTAAAACTCAATTGTAATAATTTGAAGAATAATAAATGATGACCTTGAATTTACACATTTGAAAAATTCAATTGACAACAGTAAGTTTTCTTCCAATGTTAATTGATAAACCGGATGGGTGTGGTGTGTGTAGAAGACAATTGTGTAACTATTTGCCAGCTATTTTTAGTAGCTAGCAGATGGCGCCTGTGGATTATCATTAGTGTTGCACGCTGCACGATCATTAGCACTAGAACATTTATTAGGAACACGAGACAGATTGTAAATTAGTTTATTAGTGGAGTTGCAGGCCTTCCATAAATCTCTCTCCTAAAGATGCGCCATCAGAACTTACTTGCCTTCCCTCGCATGGTTATTATATGTACATAGAATTCTCTTTTGGCTAATATCCTGACGATAATTAGCTTCGTTAATGAGCTGTTGAAAACATTTTCTTCATTGAAAATGTTATTGATTTTATTAATACAGTTATGTATTTTAAAACTATGAAAGCATTAGATGGCAGCTTGAAGTAAATACTGTTCGGTGCATACCACACGGGGCACACGTACTGTAACAACGGGTCGGTTAGGTACTGTAACATAATGTTTTTAGGTACCCTAACATAACGCAGGTATTAGGTTCGCGTTAGTTCGCTATACGTACGCTTAATTATTTATGATTTCAAAATCGATGAATAAAAATTTTATGTTCTAATTAGCTCACACGATACATAACAAAATTAAAAATTACAAAAAACAAAATTATAAATTACAAAATTGTTATAATCCATTGCAGTGGTCGTTGAAAGCATTTAATTGGAATGAAATTAATGAAAATATTTTAGCGAATTTCAAAAATTAATAGCACGATTATTTTAGTTAATTAAAAACATGCCAACACGGGCAACTAAAGGGAAAAATTAAAAAAAACTTGAAACCTGAGAGAAACTCCTTAGCTTGTAAGTGGTAGATGAAAAGACTGCAGAGAGCACTGGCAATAATAGATAGCGCTGGACATAGCGTCAAGTCAGAGCGCATGCCAAAACTCACAAGAAGTGTAGAAAGTCGTCTTCATCACACTCCAGTTGTTGTTAGTCTCCTCTCTTAGCTGAACGTCGGTGTGTCAGATTAGATAGGTGCATCCAGTTCTTTCAATTCGATTCCATTTTATACGTGCACTGGCAAAGGCATAACATTTCTTTTTTCGATATTACTGTTAAAGCTCTATATTTATTTGAGTAATAATTTGAATTTTTAATACAAAATTTTAAAACTAAATAATGATATACGCTGGGGATTAATTTTCTTTTTTTCTAACTATTTTTCTTCTCTTTCTACACGCGCCAAATTTTATGAACAGACAGAACTCGAGCGAATAAACGAACGGTAAACAAAAAATGTTATATGTCCATGGCATGCAAATTATAAAAACAACTCCACACGAACTGCCTTGCATGTATCTATGCATGCGTTATATAAACACGAACCATCATTCCATCCGTGTCTTGTGTATCTATAAATAATAATACTAATATGCCTTTATATAAATTTATACGATAAAACGCCTATGCATTTATGCATGTGTTTGTGTGTACTTGTTTGTCTGTCGGTGTGTTTGTGTGTGCCTGTATACCTTTGTGTGTGTTTGTGTGCTTGTGTTTACGTTTGCCTGCATTAGGGTGAATAAGTACGAGCATTTGATCGTCGGAAGCTTTTAATTCAAAGAGGCTCCATCGTACATACGTTGAAGAAATTTGCGAACTCAACAGTTTATAGGCAAAGAACGACGGCGGCACTGGAGCAATGAAAGGTTCGGGAAATAAATCATGCGTAATAAATAATAGATGATGAAAAAATTTTCATATCCACAGAATTTCGATCATAAATACGTGCGATGCAAAAAAAGTTATTGCAGAGAACTGCTTAGAGTTGATGTTGCAAGAACGGTTAGCATTAATATTTCATCAGATTAAATTTAATAAGAAATAAACTCGGAAGACATGGAAATAAATTATAATGTACGTTGACCATCAGTGTCAACTCAACATACGTTCACTGCTCACCAACCAACCATCAACCAACCGTCAACCAGCCATCAACCAACCATCAACCAACCATCAACCAACCATCAACCAACCATCAACCAACCATCAACCAACCATCAACCAACCATCAACCAACCAACCACTCAGAAGAAAGAAGACAACTTGATCGATCGTACAACATGACTGGATGAACATGTTGATTGAGTTTGAATGCACATAATAAGATTCATTACAGAATAAGTTCAGGCGCAAGAGTAATTATAAAATAAATTCATATAGATTACATTTTTAGTTTCATTCATTTTATTATTATTATTTAAGCCCTTTATAAAATTGTAAAGAACAGCATGAACCCATGTAAAAAAATTCCATTCCTACTTTCACATGGCTTTGGAATTTTCATTTCGTTATAACAAATGCAAAACCTTCGAAATATGTTGCCGGTTGCTCGTTGCATGTTGCACCCTGTGGCATAACAAGTCTATAAGTGTCAACATTTTGAGACCTGGTGCACTCGGTTATATCGAAAGTACTAGATAAGTGCAAATATGTGGGTTATAATTGAATGAGTGTATGAATGAATGAATAAATGAATGATGAATGAATGAATGAAGGAAGAAAGGAATGAATGAATGAAGGAAAGAATGAATGAACGAAGGAACGAACGAAAGATTGAATGAATAGATGTATGAAATATACAACATAGTTGATGAACTTACTGAATATATGCTGGATATCTGCATGCTAGGTATATTGCATGTGAATGTTTGTGTCTCATGCAACTCCCTGATTTCTGGTTTACAACACTCTTTTCTTCCTTTTTCATTCTCTACTCATATTATCTTTTCTCTCTCTCTCTCTCTCATTTTCACTCTCTCTTTTTCTCACTCTCACTTTATAAATTTTTGCATGTGTGGATATATATATATATATATATATATATATATATATATATATATTGTGCTATGTTGTGTTTATGCAAAAGTGCCTATGCCGGCAATTTTTTTTTTACAGAATCCAGTTAATTGATAGCAGTGTTTTGTGTTATTATTAAATCTCAATGAATTTGTTTTAAATTAATTTAAAATCTCGAAAATAATAAGTTAATAAATTTGTTGTTGTTTCCTCGGCGCTAAAAATAAATGAATGAATGAATTTTATTGATTGTTGGAGTAGAGAGCTGTGTATACAGGTTGGCTGTGTGTGTGTTTGTGCACAGAACCTAGCTTTAAACCAAACAACCAACCAACATGCTCCACTCTCAAAATCAATAACCGAATCTTTCCGTATGAATAATCTTGTGTTTTTTCCTTCATAATATTTTAATGTTGTTAACATGGAATATTTTATATAAGTATACTAATTTTTAGATGCTCATGAAAACTTTATGGTGATTTTTGTCGAAAAAAGCTTTTTAGATGAATTAAGGGAATGTAAAAAAATGTTGTTAATATAATGAGTGAGTTGAGTGGAATGTTCAAAGTTACTGCAGTTGAGTGGAATGTTCAAAGTTACTGCAGTTGAGTGGAATGTTCAAAGTTACTACAGTTGAGTGGAATGTTCAGAGCGGTAGGATGATGTTACTGCTGAGCAACTCACTTTTTGGGTTTGAAAGATGCGTGGACGCGCCAACAAGCTGCTCTTCAAACCTCGCTTCAAATATTTGTATCAAATCAGGTCTCTTAACTTTCAAGAGAGCTTGTATTAGGATTTCTTTTTTATTCGCCGAACGACTCAGCCCTTTGATCCAGTTGTTTAGCATTTCAATCTTTTTATCGAGGTCAGTTTTTTTCAGTAGAGCAGCATTATTTTCAATGGTATGCAAAACAGTGCAAGAAACACCGAGAAACTTTCCAAGTTCGATCCATTCGTTTCCGAGTTCGAGGGCTAGCCGTGTAAGCATACTGTTCTTTAGTTCACATTCATTGTCTAAATATGTTAATTCAGCTCGTGTCATCACTGTCAAAGCTAACAAATCTTGGTTTTTAGGTAAGGTTACCATGTGTTCCGCCAACATTTTTAGGGGTAGACTTGGTACTTTGAAAATAGATTCATTGTTTGTCAGAATTTTGCTGGTTGTCTTTTCGTCCGCGGGTAAATATTCACTTATTTTAGAGAGTTGAATGAATCCTCTGTAAACATCGTAACACTTTTGAACAAATATGTCGTGCTCTTTTAACGAGAGAGAGAGGTTGCAATCGAAATTGACGTTGAACATTGATACAAGCTTCGACGGGTCGTCAACGTATTTCAAATTGCCTCTGAATGTTATTCTAAACTTTTCGCCTTCTTTCATCAAAAAATTTTGATCTCTTTCATAAATTACGTTATAATTTTTTTCTTCCATTGAAGTAATAAACTTTTCCACTTTCTGAATAGGAATGACAGACGCGACAAATTCAGTTGATGTAGTTCTATCTTGAGACACGATGAAACTGACAATTTTCTGACTCATCATTTCATCCAAATGCGTTGCTATGATTTCGGCTCCTTTAGCGTTAATACTAACCGTAGTTCGCAGCAGAACAAAAGTTTCGATGGGCTCTGACAGTTTTATAGTTACCACATCGAGCAATGCGGTTGGCTCAATATTAACAATTTCAACAACCCATTTGTCTTTCTTTTTTCTCACTAGATACACATTATCACTCTCGTCCTCTGTTTCCAGATCATAAATGCCCATGTACCAATGTATGGGCTTGTTCATCGGCTGATTGGGGTCGGAATCTTCGTTTTCGTTAGCTGTTGCAGTACCTGCTATCTCAGGTTTGTTCATAGTTGGATTTACTCTCATCGAGTTTTCTGCGAAATTATTATTCTTTTTGACGGCGCCAGAGGAATCATCTTCTTTATTTTTGTTCCTTATCATTTTTTTCAAAACAATTGGATTTGGCGGTAAAATGACGGTCATACTAATAGGACTTTCAAATGTTTTGTTGACCCATGACATTTTCACTATTGAACTTGCTGTCAGCAAACTGTTTGCTAATATTAACGTTTTTTTCAGTTGTTTTAAATTTATATTGTCCAGTGGTTGTAATTGGAGAACTATTTTCTCAGGCTTTATTAAAGCGTCTTGAGGAGCCGTAATCTTTATTTTGGAATCAAGACTAGAAACCACATGTCCACCTTTTCTTTTTATTCGAGAAATAGCTTTTTTATTTCTTGAAACAACTAAAAATGTTCCTAAATAATTTGTCTGCGCTTGAGCAAATCGAACATCCTTGAAACTGTCAAAAGTTTGCTCTGAAGTTTTAAGCTCTGTCCAGCCAACGCACTGATGTTGCATCATTTTTATTGCTGTTTCTCTGATGTTTGTTTGATGTCGCGGCATACAGTGAGGGATAGAGAGACACATGCCAGGTTTCAAGGCAACTACGCCATCGTTACATTTGAAATTCGGAATATAAACTCTTATCACGTGACTGACTAATTCTTCGTCGTCATAAAACTCGTAACGAGTTTTCATGATATCAATATATTCGCAAAGAATTTCTCCTTCGTAAAGCAAGGAAGGATCAGCTTTTACTAAACACCCAATCCCTCCGTCAAATTCAGCTAAAGTAGGAAGATGCAATGGAAAAGTTGGCCATAAAAACGCCTCCTCTTGTTTGGCTAGCATCTGCATCTGCTCCAAACGCTCCTGCTCTTCTCTTCGTCGTTCTTCTTCAAGTAGCCTTTCTAATTCTTGCTGCTTCAAGAGTTCATCTAGTCTAGCTTGTTCGGCTGCCAAACGTTTTTTTTCCTCCATTTCAGCTTTAAGGTGATTGGCTATAGCAATAGCCTCTTCGCAAGCTTTTTGGGCGTTTAGAGAGGCTAATTCAGTTTCTGCAGTGAATTTTGATGCTTTCAATAACTCGTCGTTAAGTGCAGCAAGTTGTTGGTTCAGCTTTTTCTGTTGAACCTCAATCAGGCAAGCCTCCGCTGTCTCTTTGCAGCATTCTTTCCCACCAACCGCTAATTTCTTAGTGATATTCGTTGTAATCCCTTTTATTGGAGAGCGAATAAATTCTAAATTGCTCCTAGACATGTCACAATATGATGATAAGTTGTCCATTTCCTTGCGCAAATTACGAGAAAGTTCGTCCAGACGAGTAAGTTGACTTTCATCAAAGGACTCAGAAGTCTCACCGATAAAAGCTTCCAGTTGTTTCAGCACCGCAAATATATCGTCCGCCTTAGGCTTGCGTACGAGTTCGACATCATCGTTCTCAACGTTATCGCCATCCTCCCCCTCCTCGTCAAAGGCAGTTTCTTCATTTTGAATCTCGTCATCGCCAATGCCCACGTCGCTTTTAATTAAATTTAACGCTACCGACGTATCGCTCATTTTTGATGGTTATTAAGTAATGTTATTAATCAGCGGATAATGTTATTATTTCGTCGAATATCGTCGAATAATTGCGTTAACCAATAAATAAACTCATCTGGTCGTGTATGTTGTTGTTTAATAAACAAGCGGTGACGCAAATTCATGGGAAATTAATTCCAGTTCGAATACAATTTTCAAACTTGATTTATTTCCAATATATATATATATATATATATATATATATATATATATATATATATATATATTTATAAGTATATATATATATATAATCAACAAATATAAACAAACAGAAAATTTTGATCTTATAAATGAAATGACACAATTTATTCAAATTTCTTTACAGTTGTTACCTGCCTGCAACATATTATCATTCAACAACACATTCCTTAAGAAAAACCAAAAGCCTAGTTTGTATCAGCGTAAACATCGTATAAAAAAGTATGCTTTTAAATATCAAAATTAATAAGTACAAAAATGAAATATACACATTGACATTATTAATAAAGACCATTACTTCAAAATAATGCAACAGTTTTTAAGAATAAATGTTAATAAGGTTTGGCCCTGTATCCACTCGTAATAGGTTTGCTGCGTCTCACAGGACCCTGTTGGTACCCTTTGTTCCATGGCGGGTTTTCTTGAGCTGTTTAAATAATGTTACATCAAGCCAATTAATTAATTATTAATTAATTACATATTCAATTGAAATCTATATAAATTATATAACAAAAACAGTTACACAAAACAATCAACCTATCAAAATATGAATGTACAGACAATAATAACACCAACCGTAGCTATTGTCAGTGTCGGAGCCATAGTTGAAACTACCCTCTGAATAATTATTGCTGTCATAATTTTCCTGGGTATAACCGTTTTCTGCATTCCCGCCATCAGCCTGCCAACAGAACAAAATAGGTAAAATATATAATTTGTTGAGTTTATATCACAAAAATTATTTAAAATAAATATATAAAAATGGAAAATTGACTAAAAAATCAAATAGCGAATGAAAAAGCATCGATGGCCAGTGAATGTGAGTGAACCATAATAATCAAATACATCGTTAATACTTCAGAGAAAAAAAATCTACATACAATTTTTGAACAAAGACCAACTAACATAATTATTACTACTGTAACTATCGTTGCCGTAAGATTGATCGTTGTAAGTCGGCCAGGCTTGCATGTTTTGAACATTTGTAACAGAAGCTCCACCCCTTATGTTACCCCTTCCTCTGTTGAATTTGAATTAGAAAATTATCAGCTCAGAGAAATATTAATTGCATTTCAATTTATTAACAAATTTTATTCAATCTATCATAAAAACCTAAGAATAAGATTTTATAAACAAATTTTATGGACCAGGAGGAACCTGTTGAATGCACCTCCTCTCCTTGGAGAAGGCAGAGGTCGAGGAGCTGCCATAGAAGATGCCATTTGTTGGGAGGGTCTTTGAGGTGGTAGAGGGGGCCTACTGGAGCCCCTCTGCATCCCCATGTTTCTCATACCAGATGCCCCCCTCATGGAAGATTTCATCTGAGGAGAGGGTGGAGGGGGACTCATGATGGCCTGATGAGGTGTAGAGTAGCCGAGTGACTGGTTGTACAATGACAGAAAACCAACTGGATCTGAACCCTCTAAGTAGCTCTGTTATGTGGTCACGTGGGAAATAATTATTAAAATTGATTAGAAAAGAAGTAAAACAAAGATGAAAATATTTGCATCACATTTAGCTGTCATAAAAACACTAATGAAGTTAAAATTTATCAATCCTTTGCGAAAACAAGGATAAGACAATTTTTTAATTTTAAAAGAGCAATTTTGTTTGAAGTACAGCAGCAAGCAGAAAAGCGACTTACAGGAGATATGAGAGCTGAAAGAAGGGTCATGGCATGTGTGATCCTCTGGTAGGCTGTCACAGTTGGTCCCCAAGTTTCAATGACAACATGAAGGTCAAAGTTCAAGTGAGAATATTTGCCTCCCTGCTGCCTCAATTCTTCCTCCTTTGAGAATGAAACAAAATAATATAACTAACAATTTTTAATAACATAATGAATAATTTTTAATATGATAACGCAAACATGATGTCGTTTAAGTTTAAAATATATATGTCAGAAAAAAATCTAGAACCTTCGCTTTGTCCCTGATAGAGCCCTCCCCATAGACAGATATCTTACAGCCTGTCAACTTATGCAAGTGCTTCACCGTTTTGCCCGACTGCCCCACTATTCTGCCAACATAACTGACCTGTGCATGAAAATAAATAAAATAATTAAATCTTTATGTTACATTATTTTTTAAACATTAATAACCCTCTTCATTCACTCTTATAGAATAATAATAATATTATTAATAATAAATAGAACCATCACAGCAACAAAAAAATAATATGCATTTAATATGCTTTATAATAACGTTCTGAAATATTACAAAGATGAACAGAGTAATTGAAATAATGAAACTTTACTTGTGGGTTTTCTTTAACTGGCAATTTGAATTTTAAAGCGACTCTTGTAGGTTTCTTGGACAGTAAGTCTATGAAATGACCATCTTCTTGTCCAGTTCTTATCAACTCTAATTCTGTAGAATTAAAATGATGAAATTAAGTTTCATAAGTAACCCTGTGGTTATTTATGTGCTAAAATACACATGATATAATGTTACTTTTAGGTGCATTTTAAATTAGTATCTAATAAACGAATAAGCAAGTCTATAAAAATTTTTAGTCAGACAAAACAATAATAAAATAATAATTACAAAATCTTTTCTGTGTGTATGTAATATAATTGAATTTAATTAATACAAATGAATTATAACTCTAAACTGAAAATAAATTAAGAAGACCGATGTTCTACATCCCATATATGTTTTTATATAGATATGCGAATACACATAAAATAGAGGTTATCTGTATACTATGATGATACGGATACAGTTCTACAATCAATATGTACAAAGCCACTGGCAGAAGATTTCAGGTGCCATATTGTAATAATATAGTATAGATAGACAACATAAAAAGAGAATTTAGACACTACCACAAACATTTTTATTCGTTTCAATAACATTTTGAATTTTGGAGAAAGGGAAAACAAAATTAAAAGACAACAAACCTCGATCAACAACTTGTGTGAGTAATGGAAACTCGTCTGCATTCAATCGACTCCTCTCCTCGAACAGAGCATCCATGTTTGAAAACATCGACGTGCCACAGCCACCACCACAACTACCACCACCGGGTTCAGAAGTCTCTTTACTACTACAATTACCAAATTCTGCCGGCTCCATTTTTCGTGAATAGTTTATCCGAGTGAAATTATCGATGAGTGTCCAATTGAGATATCCGCACTATAATGTCCACAAGACAGAAGCACGGAACATAAATAGTAAGCTTGAAAGTTTTACGATCCCTTTTTACGATTAGATACAACAATGCGGCGCTTTTATGATAAATGCAAACGTTAAGTAAGCTAGATAGACATTGTAATCCTATTAATCAGAATCTTTGGTTGGAAATTTCTGTCATTAAAAATGTGTTGCAAAACAAACTTTTTAAGTCAAGTAGTGTGCTTCAATTATTATATTAATAGGTTTTCACTCTATTAATATTACTTAAAACTCCGTTGGTATTCCTTATTAGATAGAACTGTGATTAAATGGCTTATTAATTATAGAACTTGACTCACGTATGATTATTTTCACTGAAACAGTCTAGTCTCCTTATTATGTCTTAGTTCAAAGAATTATTACCATTTGTTGTGATAAAAGCGCATAATGCTTCTCTTACAAAATCTTCATGTAGATACTCTAGACCTCACCGTGCACGCAACCATTAGCCACTATTATCGTGTTAAATTCCATTCGTTCCGTGACGGCGAAAATTCCATTGATGATTCAGTCTCTAAAATCGAAGAAATATTAGCAAAGGATCTGAAATCTGTGATAACTGTGGACCATTTTGCATACGGTCCCAATTACTGCAACGTAGGACTAGGCTCCTACGTTGCAGATTCAACGTTTTGTTTTTATTTATTAACGTAACTGGCCAGAGGGCCCAACGGACCACTTACCCAGTCTGACCAAAAAACAAGATAAACAAAATGGCAAATAAAAAATAAATGGATCCTTGAAAATAAACACACACACACAGACACATTCGCACACTCACACTTGGAAGAAAACTTGTAAACGGTGGAATGAATGCGGTCTGACCCCGCGTGGATTCGTCGCTCGAAAATTATTTACTTCGTTGCGTAATTAATAGTACGAAAGAATTGTTTTCTACAAGACAATTTTTTGAAAAATTAAATCCTATATGATCTTTGCAGAGGAACATTTTTTTTTAATTTTTGGTTTTATCGACGAAGAAAGTTAATATGTTGAAAAATGTTGCTGATTAAAATAACGTTTATGCATAGGACGCTTGAAACTACTTGAGAATTTTTAAAATTTGCTAATTATTTGATATTTCAAATTATCTTGCTTGTCAATTATTGTTTGATTTTGTTACGGACTATTGACTTAGTTTGGGCCCATTATTTAGTATTATATTATCATATAAATATTATATATCATTATAATAATAAGCATGTTAATATAATGGTTATATAATTATTGCAGTTATAATATTTATATAACTAAGTTTTATCATATTCTGCAAATCAAACTCTGTCAAACGTTGGAAATAAATTTATAAGTATGGAAAGTGCTGGTTGCATTTAGTAGAAGTAAAATGAAATAATAGTAGACCACAGATATGCAATGATGATCAAAATCGGACAGCACATTGACACGCACACACACATTAAACAATGTAATTAATGATTCAGATAATATTTTTTACAAATCTGACACTATCTGTATCTAGGTCGTAGGTCATTTGTCATTCTCAATACTAAATTCCGTATAAATTACTGGAAGAAAAGAGATAGAGATCAAGGGATAGCGGAATAGACGACAAAAAACGACATATCAGAGAAAAAGAGAAACAGAAAGAGAGAGAGAGAAAAAGAGAAGAGAGAGATACAGTAACAGAGAGAGAGAGAGAGAGAGAGAGAGAGAGAGAGAGAGAGAGAGAGAGAGAGAGAGAGAGAGAGAGAGAGAGAGAGATGGTGTAGTACATAAAGAGGAGCGTTAAGTTGTTGGGAAAATTTAATTAACAAATCGCTCGGTGGGACGACGCTGAAAGATGGGAATAAGAAAAAAGAATGAAAAAAAGAATGCTGATGGCGAAGAAGACGACAAAGATGGCGAAGAGGACGATAAAGATGGCGAAGAAGACGACGAAGATGATGATAAAAAGGAGGAGGAGGACGATGATGATGAGGAGAACGATGATGATGATGATGATGATGACGCGCTTGTTTATTGTTCACGCGACGTTCCCGTCACGCGAAGGCGTCGCGACAGTTACACGATCGTCAGTGGGATCTTCTTCATAATCACTTTTTGCATTTCTGCTTTTTTTCTGGCCGTACTGCTGTTATTAATAAAAATAGGCGTTTAAAAAATATAATAACAAAATAATAATATAAAAATATGGCACAATTATTATTATAATTATAATAATTATTACTATTATTAATTATTTTAAAGCTGACGCTGTGCGTAGAGCGCTATATTAATACCATTATAATTAAATTTTAAGAAAGATAAAAGTTTTTTTATTATCATTAAATTGTAAAAAAATAAATAAAATGATAAATAAATTGTAGTAAAAATAGATAATAATAATAATTATTTTAATATTTGGATATAATAACCATAATAACAATAAAATCTTTTGTTTGGAAAAAATTTTTAAATGTAAAGAAATGTGGATAAGTTGTCTGTTTTGTTGCTGGTTGGTTGCCTTTGCACAGACTCAGTTTTTAGGTTGGTGTAGCTGTACCGTTGTCTGTGTTGTTGTCACTGCTGCTGTCGTTGTTAATGTTACCTTTGTCGGTGTTATTGATGTTGTTGCAAATGTTAGTGTTGCTGTAGTTGATGTCAATGTTGTATTTGACGTTGTTGATGTCATATTTGATGTTGTTGTTGTTGGCGTTTTTTCTTAAACTTTAATAATCAATTACAAAAATTTATACAACAAAATAACTAATGCTGACTAACTAATAAAAACAGTGAACTACCGACACTATTGAAAAAAAACAAACATTTACAATTAAATTACCACCAAAGGCATCAACATATCAACAAACTCCGATACATCAACATTTACATAAACAACATCAACATTAAGACATCAACAAAAAAAACCTCCCCAGAAGTTTAAACAACAATTACGGAACTTAAACACTTTTTTAAGATCAGCAGCTCGTTCACTCGCCTACACCAATTTACGACTCTTCAACTGAACACACCACAAACAACAATCTATTCGCAGAGGATTTTAAAAGTAAATTTATGTAACAAATTAACATAAATCTTTGAAGAAAAAAAATTCATTGTCATTTTTATAGCGCTCTGTAAAATTAACTTTTTAAAAACGCATAGATTTGAAAACAAATAGATCATCCATGCCTATGATATGCGGTGGGTGCATCTGCAGTCGAACCCCCACCCTGCAACTCAACGCAGAAAATGAGTTTTTTTATATCGTTACACAATCTCGACGCCCATATATTAAAATATTAAAATGAAATATTAACATTTTAATGAAATAAATAAAAAAAAACTTGAAACAAAAAAAGAAATAAAATTGATTAAATTACCAAAATACTAAAAAATAAATAACATTAAGATCATTTTTTTCCAGAAGTTAATGCCATTCGAACCGCCATTTTTTGCTATCTCGAAGTTTATCATATGCTCTGTTGGGAAAACTCTTTAGAAATATCGCTGCCGTGACGTCATCATCTATCGTCATCATTATTATGATGACGTTTCAAGTGTGAGGACAGAGATGATGACGATGATGTAAGTAGTGAGGAAGCGATGAACCTGGAAAAGATGATGGTGACAGCGTAAATGATAATGAAAGAGATGACAACAATATAGATAGTGATGAAAATGATGACTTAAACGTAAGTGTTGAAGATGATGATAGCAATATGAGCGCTAATAAGGAGAATGATATCAATACAGATAGTGATGATGATAACGTGGGTGATGATACAGATGATGATTGATAACAATGTAACGATAAAAATTATATAAAAAAAAACCATAAGTGATGACAATAACAATGTGTGCTACGATGAACCTGATGGCAATATGAGTGACAATGATGAAGATGATGATGGCGATAATATGGAAGAAGTGGTCCAACATAAATTAGCCGTCCTACTTACTTGCCACGCCACACCACGCCACGCCACGCCACTGTAGTGTCTGTTGTCTGGGCGTCAGTTAGTCAGTCTTGCAGTTCAAGAGGTTAAGAGGCTTGTTTATTGCTGCCGTGCTTTCTCATTCAAAAAACTTTTCTGATACAATACTGGATTAGTATGATACTGATAGAGTACTGCTTTGATATTTCATGATACTGATACAATACTACATTAATATTTGTTGTCTTTGTGATACTGATATCTTATGATACATATCCAACAATACATTAATATTTTGTGATGCTGATATTTTATGGGTACATCGTACATTGATATTATATAATACCAATACAATACTATAATTTTTATATTAAAACATATAAATGTAAAAATAATACTACGTACAATTTTACGCTACCAATAAGATGTTATTAATTATCAAATTTTTTTTCGAATACTAAATACTACATTATAATTCTCTATGAATTTTTACATTTGAATTAATTATACTAAAATACTTTGAATTTATAGTTTGTAGACTCTATATTATTTAGAATTGGTAAGAAGTGTGACTTAAATGCATTATTAAATGCAGTTTATTGTTGTTGTGAGCTACGTTATGTATTATTATTATTAGCAAGGCGATTGGTAGTCATATTCCTGCGGCTCGAATTGCCCACCGATCGCGATACACATGGTCGCGATACACATGGTCGCGATACATACGGTCGCGATACACACTGTCGCGATACATTGCCAGCCTTCCAGAGGTACGTTCAGATTTGTCAGAAAAAGTTTGATACAGCAACTGCCGACAAATGCAAATCTGTCCAGATGGAAAAAATCTTTCACTGCCCAGTGTTCACTATGCAACAATCGACAAACTAACAAACATGTACTCTCCAACTGCAGCTCGACTTCGGCGTTAATGATGTACACAACAAGACAAACAAAATTTGAACAATAATTCTCGAAAAGTTGAAATCATGCGCCAATTCATTTTTGCAGATCTAGAGACAGATGAATTTTAACTACCATCCCGCTTATTCTAATCCTTGCGACCGGATATCGCATTGCTACGAAAGGAAACAATTGAAATACTCGAATTAACAGTGTGTCACGAGACTAACTTGAAAAATAACTTGATTGACGATTTCATGCATTTAAAAATAAAAATAAATACATTCGAAATCTCAAATCTAGATTTATTTAAAATATTTAATTTCTCTTTTTTAAACATTATTAGCCTTCAACTACTACGCCATTTTTTGTCGCCTGATAGTGTCTTAATGTGTTTGACACTAGATTTGTTTAATATCGTGCAGTTCATTTTGAACAGTTTTTTGATATCACATTCAAATTGACATGTTTTGATAGCTGTGTTGGATTTTTAATTGTTTAATTGTCATATAATTGTTGCTGGTTTTTTGGTTCAGACAATCCTGTTGTTGTTTATGTTGTTCTTTTAGAAAATGTTGTTTATGTTGCAAATGTTGTTGTTTATGTTGCAAATATTGTTGTTCATGTTGTTTATGTTCTAAATGTTGTTGTATATTTTGCAAATGTTGTTGTTTATCCTGCAAATGTTGTTGTATATTTTGCAAATGTTGTTGTTTGTGCTGCAAATGTTGTTGTTTGTGCTGCAAATGTTGTTGTTTATGTTGCAAATGTTGTTGTTTATGTTGCAAATGTTGTTGTTCATGTTGCAAATGTTGTTGTTCATGTTGCAAATGTTGTTGTTTATGTTGTTGTTTATGTTGTTGTTGTTTTAGTTTTTGCTATTAATGTGTTTGTGCTATTTCAGTTTGATATTGATGAATTTGTCGTTGACATAATTCCATTCGTTGACATGCATTCGTCCAACTTTTCCATGTCTACCCTTTAATCCCAACAATCCATTATGACCGGAAACATTCTGCTGAGAAAAAACAACAACAACGACAATCACAATCGTAACAATTACAACAACAAAAACAACAACTACAACAACTAAAACTCTCACCACCTCAATAACAACTACAACTAAAACTTACCACAACTATCACAACTACAATTGCTACAATTACGACTACCACAACTACAACTACCACAACTACAATTTCTACAACTACAACTACCTCAACTACAACAACCATAATAATAGCAACAACGACCATAGCAACTACAGCAAAACTAACTACTTCCAAACAACTAAGCCTGGAATGGGATGATGAAGAAATTATTATAAACACTTATTTGAGTTCAAATAAAATCGAATTTTAAAAATTTAAAAAAAAAGGTAGCATAACAACGAATTAAAACAAGATCAACAAACAATATAAAATGACAAGGATTACATTAAAATACAACAACCACAATGATAACAACATCCACAATGATAACAACAACCACAATAACCACAACAACCACAATAACCACAACAATCACAATAACAGTAAGAACAATAACAACAACAACAACAACAAAACCTCAACGAACCGTTCTAAGAAATATCTGGAACGGAGAGTAAATTTGGATTTTGAAATCAATATTTATATCTGTGTATGTATTTATGTATGTATGTCTGTGTGTATGAATGTATGTTTGTTTGTATGTATGTTTTTATGTATGTTTGTTTGTATGTATGTATGTATGTATGTATGTATGTATGTATGTATGTATGTATGTATGTATGTATGTATGTATGTATGTATGTATGTATGTCTGTATGTATGTGTGTATGTATGCATGTATGTATGTATGCATTGTATATATTTTTGTACGTAGTGTAATGTGCAATAGTATATGTACAATTGTACATGTGTATATTTTGTATCACATCAAACCCAAGCAGATATTGATTTGATAAGTTTCCGATCTAAATTTTTCTTATTCATAAAGTTGCTTCTTTGCTATGGAGCTGGCTGACCATAAGGGCGGTCACGCACTTTTGGACTTCACCCTCTACTCTGTCACAAACTGTCACAAGTTTTCAAACCCCCTCTTATATTTTTTCTATTTTTATTTCTTCATCTCTTTATTTTTCTCTTTCCATCTCTCTCTCTCTCTCTCTCTCTCTCTCTCTCTCTCTCTCTCTACCTTTCTTTCTCTTTTCTATCATTTATCTTTTATTGTATTATTTTCCCTTCAATAGTATATGGATGACTTGGAGGGAAGAGAATTAATGATTAAGATTTAAATCCTCAACGATAAAAGAAGGAAAGAAAGCTGGTTGCGTGTGTGTCTATGCGAGATGTGGAGACCTTCTAAGAAATTTAATCTTATTAACTTAACCATCCAGTTCATGCTAACTATACTGCCGTGCTTGCTTGTCACGATACAAATATGTGTCTGTCTGTGTGTGTGTGTTTGTGTGCATGCATGAGTGTGTATGTTTTTATTTTTATCTCTCTCTTTCTCTAACTCTCTCTCGTTCTCTCTCTTTCTCTGTTTTCTCTCTCTCTCCCTTTCTTTCTGTTCTCTTTTTTGTTTATTTATAATTGTATTACTTTGTATCTCTGTAAAAAAACAGAAACAGAAGCTGACAAAACTGATGTATACATACATATATGATTGGTCTATAGACATGTCCTGTAGAGAACCTGAGACATGTCTCAAAAACCACTAAATATAAGAAGAAGGAAATTAAGACAAATATGTTTGTACAATGTTTTCTCATTGAACAGTTTCTATTTTTTAATTCGTTTTTTGTTTGTTTTGTATCTGTTTGTATGTTTGTTTTGTATTTGCTTGTATGTTTATTTTGTATCTGTTTGTATGTTTATTTTGTATGCCTTGTATGTTAATTTTGTATCTGTTTTTATGTTTTTTTACTATTTCGTCTATTCATGTCAGTGTTTTGTTTATTTAGTTAAATGTTTAATTATTCTATGTATTAAATGTTTATGTATGTCCGCTTAGTTATTTTCATATATTT